AAAGCCCTATTGGCTATTGTAACATTTTGTGTTAATGAAAAGTTAATATGAAATTGAAACCTCCATCGTCCTAGTACTATACAAGGAGGTGTTCTCCTCCTTATTCCACACCAAACTTCGAGAGCTCTTTATGTTCTCTTTAAGTTTATCTATTTTCTCTTTGTTTTCAAGAATTTCATTCTTAGTAGCTTTGAGAATTATTTTATAGCTCAGTGACAAAATTCTTAGTTCGCTTAAAGTAGTAATGAGGTGCTAGTCAGTTACTTTCAGCCGTTGTATTTTGGGAAATAGATGTGTCGTCATCTTGCACTACAATGGGGCAAATCCGTTTTAAAGAAATTGTGTGCAATACAAGCTTTGGTTCATTCCAATACCGTTACTATATCACCAACCATATTTCCTCTATTTTATTGTTAATCTGTTTATTGTAACGTTTCTTTCCATTATTTTATAACTCCAATAGTATTCCTAATTTTCTTTTTTATTTTTTCTTTATATCTTAAAACGGATTCTTCTCAAAAGAAGGAGATGTTGGATTTCAAAGAAAGATAATTGTGACAATAAAATTCCCCCACAATGTTTATAAAACCTTGGAAACTAGAAGTTACGATACAAAGAAGTTCTGTCTAGGAGGTTGGGTTTTAAGTGGGACCATTTGTGACTTCTAGCCAACTTGGGAGCTGAATATTTTCAAAGGAGGCTAGGTTTGTTAAAGCTGCAATTAGACCCCACTAGTCTTCGTTTGAAATTATATGTAGACTACTATTCGGTTTGTGGAAAAAATAGCTTAACTTTCATCATGTTTGCTAAGTATTTTCTATTCTTTCTTTATTTTTAAGAGTCTTGTTCTTAATTGCTTTGAGAATTATTTTCTAGTTCGGTGATAGAATTATGAGCATATCTCAGTTCGCCTGTAGTAGTGACGAGGTGTTAGTCGGCTACTTTCAACCATTATACTCTGGGGAGATGGATACCATCAGTCCTCTTGCACCACAGTGAGGCGAATATGTTTTAAGAAAACTGTGTGCAACACATGCCTTGATTCATTCTAATACCATTCTTCTTAAAAGACGATGGAGATGCTGGATTTCAAAGAAATATTATCGGGACAATAATATTCTTCCACAAAATTTATAAAACATCGGAAACTGGAAGTTATGATATAGAGAAGTTGTTTCTATGAGGCTGGATTTTAAGTGGGACCATCTATGACCCCTCCAGCCAACCTAGACCTTAATGTTTTCGAAGGAGGCAAGATTTGTTGAAGTTTGGATTAGACCCCTCTAGTCTTCTTTAAAAATTATCTAAGAGTGCTAGTCGGTTGTTGGAGAAAATAACTTAATTTTCATCACGTTTGGAAATTAAACATATTTTCATTGGAAAAATTAACATATTTTCGCAATTAAGAAAATAACATAATTTTCAAACGGTATTGTTGAGCAGAAGAATTGAACCTTGAAAGAAATGACGAATGTAAAATTTTGGGTTGACTTAGAATGTGGGAGAAGCTATTTTGTCAATAAATTATCCTTTAAATAAGGTATCCTGAAAAGGAAGACGAGAATCCATATGAATTATGGTATTGTCAAACCATTTACAAAAAAAAAAAAAAAATTTGAAAATAAATTAATTTAAATTTTATCCAACCCAAATTAAATTAAAGACATTCTAGTTAAAAAGATAGATACATATTAGATATAACACGTAAACTCAATACCTAAATAGAAAATTATACATTTCAAATTAATTAATTAAAGCACACTCAAATACCTATCGATCATCACAATCGTGAATGCAAAATTCTCAAAGTGGATGCAGTATTGAACAACTACTGTTGAACCAAATTCATCGACTGCCCATTATAATTGAGTAGGCAATTAAATCTAGATTTTAATTCAAACTCATACATTTCTTTTCCTTGTGCTAATAATTTTTTCGAATTTCAACTTAACTTTCAAGTTAGTTTATTCAAATTTTCTTATTTTTTAGTAACTGTTTCCTATATTTCATTGATAGTTACGTTATTTTGTTAAAATTTGTGCCCGATTCCCTTAAATTTTTAACAGACATTTTTTATTTATTTACGTTTCAATATCATGGTCATGTTGGTGTGCGCTGTTGCAGGCACCCAAAAGTAATACCTTAACCTCTAAAACTAATGTAATTGTGGAAGTAAGGGTCGCTCCAACGAAAAGTGTGTAATTCAATATTTTATAGATCGTACAATGATTTAGGGCTTTGGTATGCAAACAATTGTAAATAATGTAATCAATAATAATGAAAATTAAATTAACGAAAACAATCAAAAGATTAACCTTGGTCTAAGTCCACATCGACCATCGGAAATCCACAATTGATCACATATGCAAGGATAATTCAATTCATATTTCGAATATTAATCGTTGGAATTGATTCTTATTTCTCCTTAATTTCAGCATTCTAATTAACCCTAATTATTAAATAAGCCCAGACTAGTGCTCAAGATTCAATTTAATAATAGTTTTACACAATAGAGAAATCGATGAATTAGATAACACAAATATCAGCGATTGCATTCAATCTATTTAAACATTTTTCTTAAAATTCAATAACCTCTATCGCAAAAAATCATCAAATTATAGTACTTCACAAGTTAAAGGGGTCAAACAATTATGAATTTTATATTTTACTTAGCGGTATATTGTAACGAATAACAAACTAGTAGGCCTTCTAGCAATTAAACATAACAATCATGAAAATAAATGTCGAAGAATATTCAATACGCAAAATAAGAATTAAATAATAATAAAAACTATTTAGATCTCACAATATGTGATTCAAAGACTTAAATTTCCTTCGACCAAGTGTAAAAGTTTAGTTATAATTCATGAATTTAAGAGAGAAATAATGAAGAATGGAGTTTGAAGGCGTTTTGTACGTTCTCCCCCCATTCTAGGGTTTTAAAATATTTATTTATAATTGTTTCCATATGTAGTTGACTTAATATTCGGAAACTGGAGATTCGTCTGTAAAAAATGCATGTGTGCGGGCTGTATATTTCCTTGCCCGCGCGCCGTTTATTGGTTTTAGGCTCGGTAAGTAATATTTAATTTATAGATACCTGATTTATGCATAATGAAACTTTAGCCCTGATTTTTGAATTGTGATATTTAAATACCTGAAATTATGTAATTTCCTCTTTTCGATTTTTTTGCCCACCCCCAATGAGGAAGATCAAAGATGGATATTGGGTACGGGTATGGGTTTGGAGTCAATAAATTAAAATTTTTCTTTTGGGTCATCAAATTTGCTTTGGGCTTAAGGAGTTGGGCTATTATTTAACTTTGAACATTGATTGCTATGATTAAATGGACATGGACTCAATTTAAAAAAAAAAAAAATTAAAATCAAGGGGAACTTAGAGGATCTGGGCTACGACTAGCACAAGCTATTGTCCGAACCAGTATGTGCTTAGATCCACTCCTGGGGGGTTGCTAATAAGAATTGGTGGAATTGTTCGAACCAGTATGTGCTTAGATCCACGCCTGGGGGTTGCTAATAAGAATTGGTGGTGGCGCAAACGTGCCAGAATTCTAGCAACGAAGGAAAAAAATTTCTCAGAAAAATGTTTTGACAAAAGTCCGAGTACAAGATGGAAAGAATTAGGACTAGACAAAACTCTCGAATCAAATCGGATCGAACTGAATTGAACCGATCGATTCTTCTTAAGTTAAATACCCAAGCAGAATCGAAAACCGACAGGTTTAGTTTGATTCTCAATTCAAATTGAAGAATTGAATAAAAACTTAATCTCCCTAATTTTTTAATTTTTTTAATCTTAAATAAATCAAATTATTTTATTTTTTTCTAAATAAACTTGCTGATTAATTAATTTAGTCCAGACCCAAAATATGATTTTACTATTTCTAATTTCCAGCTATGCCTAACTTAATGAAATTGACCTAAATTTTACCCAAATATCTTATTCTACCGTAGTGTCGTTTCCGTCGTTCTATTATTGTGAACTCGTCACCTTTCTCTTCCTGTGATTTTAATAGTCAAATTAATGAAGAACACATTAAAAAGAGGTGTAAAAGATATCACGAGATTGAACTAAGTTATTTTGTAAAAATTAAGATTGAACAGTCATAGTCGAATTAATGTGGCGTTATTGTAAATATAAAAAAATAATTATTATACAGAATTCAGAAACCGAATAGAACTGAATCGAATCGAACTGAACCTAATAAAACCGAACTCGAACGGTTCCTTATTTAAATTTAAATTCGATGATTTCATTTACTAAATACTCGAAAATTCAAGAGAATCGAATCGAACCTTGTCCCGCCCTAGACAAAATGCTACTAAATCATTCAGTTGTTGATGATGATCAAGATTTCGACGACACTATTACATTCGAAAACATAAACGAACCGAACCGAACTGAACCTAATGAAATCGAACTCGAACGATTCCTTATTTAAATTTGGATCCGATGATTTCGTTTACTAAATACCCGAAAATTCGAGAGAATCGAATTGAATCGAATCGAACTATGACCAGCCCTAGACAAAATGCTACTAAATCATTCAGTTGTTGATGATGATCAAGATTTCGACGACACTATTACATTCTAAGACATAAATGAACCGAACCAAACCGAACTGAACCTAATGAAATCGAACTCGAACGATTCCTTATTTAAATTTGGATCCGACAATTTTGTTTACTAAATACCCGAAAATTCGAGAGAACCGAATTGAATCGAATCGTACTATGACCAACCCTAGACAGAATGCTACTAAATCATTCAATTGTTAATGATGATCAAGATTTCGACGATACTGTTACATTCGAAGGCATAAACAAAAATAGATGTTGCCTCAACCTCTCCAAGACATCCATTTTAAAATAATGAAAAGGTTGAGTATATTTTATAAAATAATGAAAGGTTTGAAGCTACCGCTGCAATTATCCTTTTTTTCAATTGTGGCCCCTATGTTACCAACTAATGGATTTAGATGGTAGTGGTTCTTCTACGCAGACTCTTTTCAAGGTAAGATGATTGAACTAAGTCTAGTTTCTAGCTCGAAGGCTAAAGAGGATTCATATTTGCCGTGATAACCCGATTATCACATGAGAGTAACCAGTGATTAATAAGTACTGAAAGGTCATTTAGGGGATTTTTCGATAATCTAAAAGAACAGAGATATTCCGCAACAGAGACAAATGTCACGAGAGTTTTGCGTCATTTACCCAAAAATCCACACCTATAAACAACTGCTATATATAATAGCAAAATTTTAAATTCCATTGCTTCCACAATTTAACTTTTACCTCCATAAAAAGATAATTTAACGATAGAGAGAGACAGCAGCGATTTGCTTGATTGGATTTTGCTTCTCTCGCTGGTACCAAACCTCAACGCCTCTCTCTTTCTCTATATAAAATCTCCAATATTTTTGTTGAAATCGTGATTTTTCAAAGTTAATGGTATTTTTTTCTGAGATGAAATTGAAATTAGAATTGAAATCTGTATTTTAATCAATCCACGATTTTTGTTATTTTTCCACTTATTCTGATGTTATATTTGATGAGCTTGCTGTCTTGATTGGATTTTGAAGAATTATTGAAGGTGAGACTACTGTAGTAAATTTTCGATCTAGGGTTTTCTTGGGCTTTCTTCATTTCTGTGATTAATCAGATTGACTACCGTAAGTTAAGGGATTTTTATTTTTAGCTGGATCTGGTAGATGAAGATTTCGGGAGAGTAAATTTGGAATTCATTTATTTATTTGTATTTCGAATTAGCATATTTGGTTGAGCTTAATGTGGAAATGAAAATTTTTAGCAATAAAAGGACAAGATTAAGAAATTCTCTTAAGTTGATATTCTAGGAAAAATTCTCCCCCCCGGGTAAATAATATAAACCCATATTCTCATATTTTATCTCCTAGGACAAATCTGGCCTTTTAATTTCTGTGATAAATCAGATTGACTAGTGTTAGTTAAGGGTTTTTTTTTTTTTTTTTTCTGAAAAGAATCTTGTAGATAAACATTTTGGGAGGGCAATATACTTAATTTGGATTTATTTTGTATTTTGATTAGCATATTTGATTGAGCTCAATCTGGAAATGAAAGATTTCAGGATTCTGGATTTCTATTGTTCAAATGGGATGAGATTCTCATAGAAGATAAGTTGTGAGAATTTTTTAATCTTGCCCTTTATTGTAATTAACAATTGCAGCATTTATGATGCAAAATTTACTAGGTTTAACTTGATTTGGAAGCCAAATAATCATCTTTACAATAAGGCTTAAAAGAAATGGAGAAACTGTTCAGAATCCCGTCATATATGTAGAAATCTTATCAGGGGAAAAAAATAAATTTGTTGATTCTGAATTTTTGGCTTTGAATTTCAATTAATTTTTATATCATGCATTATATTGGAAGATGTGGACTGTTAAATGATTCAATTTTATATATTTTCTTTTGATTTTATAGGTGTGGGAGCAGATGGCAAGAAGAGGCAAACTTGGATACAAATGCAACACCAGGCGCAGGGATCGGTTGGATGGCAAAGGTTCGGATGACTCAGATGAAGATTACAAGGTAGGTGAAGATGAGGATTTCAATGAATCAGAGGATGAATATTGTTCTTCTCTTGCCGAGGATGAGTCAGAAGAGAGTCTAGGTGAATTTGAGGAGGAAGAAGAGGACAAATGGGTAGAAAAGAGGGTCAAGCACGCTCGAAGACCTAGAGGTCGAACCGGTGTTCAAGGGAAAAAAATAAATGGGGCTGTCAAGCCAAAAAGGAAAAAGGTGGTGGTATATAGTGAAGAAGAAGATGATGATGATTCGGACGATAATTTTGCTAGTACAAAGGGAAGAAAGAAAAGGAGGGTGTCATATAAAGAAGAGGATGAGGATGAAATTGAGGTTTCATATAGAGAAGCAGACAACGATCCAAGGCCTAGAAAGAAAACCATGGTTTCTTATAAAGAAGATAATGATGATGAGATGCCCAGAAAGAAAACAGAGTTTTCAAATAGAGAAAAAAAGGAAGATGTTGAGTATGATTATTCCAGTGATGACGACGATGATGATGAGGAATTTCTACCAGATGAGATTGATGGTATAGATGATGAAGAAGATTCACCTGTTACTATGAAGAATAAGATGCGCAGGGTGAGTATGGAAGAGAAGGGAATCGTCAAAGGACGAAGGAAGATTAGGAATGCTAAAGTTATGAAGAAGACCAAAAGGAAGAAATCAATAAAGAATCATGTGTCAATGAGAAAAGTAAGATCTGACAATGGTAAAGATTTTAGAGATGATAAACAGATTGTGCAAAAAAACAAGATCGCTGAACGGGGAAGGTCAAGGAGGGGGAAGTCAACTTTAAATTCTGATTCCGATTTTGTGAGTTCGGGATCATCTGATCATGAATACACCATTTCTGAGGAAGAGAGAGAACAGATAAGAGAAGCTAGTGAATTTTGTAGAAGTTTGAGGTGTTCAAATTCGAAAATTATAGAAGAGAGACTCATTCTGCCTCCACAACGAAAACGCGTAGTAAGGAAGGGTAAGGGGAAGATAGAAGGTATAGAGGTTGAAGCAGGGAAGCAGGTTTGTGGGATTTGTCTGTCTGAAGAAGGGAAGAGAACAGTCAGGGGAACATTGAACTGTTGCAGTCATTATTTCTGTTTTGCTTGCATCATGGAGTGGTCAAAGGTGGAATCTCGTTGCCCCCTCTGCAAGCAAAGGTTTTCCACTATCAGTAGGACAGCACGAGCAGATGCAGGGCTTGGTTTGAGGACTCAGGTGATTACAGTTCCAGAACGTGATCAGGTATTTTGTTGAACAAATCCTTTTTTAGTTTTTGGAAGCAAACGGATGTCCTCATTCTATGTTTATGTATCTTTTGAATTACCCGTACCCTACTATTGTTATGTGCAGGTTTATCAACCGTCCGAGGAAGAGCGCAGGGGATATCTTGATCCCTATGAGAATGTGCTATGTATTGAGTGTCAACAAGGTGGAGATGATGCACTTATGTTACTTTGCGATCTCTGTGATTCTCCAGCGCACACTTATTGTGTTGGTCTTGGACATGAAGTGCCTGAAGGTAATTGGTATTGTGATGGATGTAGGCCAACTGCTCTTGCTTCATCTGTTGCACAAGGTTTGAATCCTAGCATTGATCATGGAGCAAGTAACAACTTGTCCATAAGATCATCCCCTGTTGCCAGTTCGCGGGAAACTTTTGACCTCAATGAGTTGTATGTACCTGATACCCCATTGACTCAAGGAACTGAGCACACTCTGTCTCCAAGAATTTCTGTTGGGAATTTTCAAGCTGCTTCTGCAGCTACGGGAACTGGGGCAGCTACAGTATTAGAAAGGCGTAGAATACAGCGTCAGATATACCAATTTCTCAATTACAGAAGTAGACAATCTGACAGAACTGATGGGATGGCCACAGTTTCAGGGAATGGTCTTTTTGGTACTCAAGTTGGTGGAGGTAGGGAATTAGTACCTGGATATACAGTTACTCCCACGAGGATGGCACCACAAAATATATATCTTCAGGAAAGCTTACTAGAAAATACAACACTTCCCTTGCACCCTAGGGAAGTTTTTTCTCCAAGATTCAGTAGTTTGAGGGGCCAATCTATTCACAATCAAGCTTCTACATCTGTGGATTATTCTTTTGGTGGAATGTCACAAGGTGAATTTATTGGAATCAGTGAAAGGGTTGGATTAGGACATGGTCATCAGCAACTCCATCCTTGCAATAGCATATCAGACATCAGTACTGATGTTGGTATTCCAAACCAATTTAGAGAGGTGAGCGATTCTCTCATAGAAAAGTACAAGTGCAACCAATGGTTAAAAATCACACAAAAGCTATTGAATTTGGAATTGGGTATTTTGATGTTTAAATTTTAGTCATAAATTGCGCATGGCTTTTCAAATTTTCGGAAAATGTCATGCAATTATAAGAAGCAATGATGTAGATTATCATCACTCTTCTTGTCCTGAAACTCAAAATGCTTTTCATAAATCAGTAATTGGATTTTTGCTATGTAGATTTGATTGAAACATTATTTTGAATTGCACATGTTGGAAGCTTAGAATAGGGATGCATTTTCATGTTGCATTACCACTGATGGGTTATTACTATTTGGTTCGTTTCCAAGCAATAGGACAATTTTATTTTATACTTCATCAGTTTAGTCAGATGCCTTCAAATGAATTTTTTGGAATTAAAAAAATCACTAAATTTTCCTCTAAATGCTGTATTGAGGTTCATTTATTTTGCTTTTTCTTGACTAGGACTTGCCTTTATATTAATGCAGGCTACAACACCTTCAAGGACATTGCAAGGATCTTTACGCACACCATTTTAGCTGACACAATCTGTAACCACTTCGAGAGAATTGCTCGTGGACGAATATGTCCAATGAGAGGTCAATACTCTGTGTCTTATTTCCATATATTAGAACCGAATTCCCCCTTATCCAAGAATTAGGCTCTTGTTGCAATTGCACGAGGTTGGCACCAGCTCACCATTCTTTCTGTACACTGACTCCATTGGAGACGGGGCCCCTTTTAGCTAGGATTTTCTTGTTTTGTTATTCACACTACACAGAGATACGACTGGCAGAAATGTCACTAGTTGTTTACATGATATGCACGCAACAATTTCCTGACTATCATCACTCGTAATTTTTCCATTGATAAATCACTCACGTCGAGCATTTCCCCAAATTTTTTTTTTTTTTTTTAATATTCTGGCTTTTGCATGACATTTTACGGTTACTTTAGAATTGTTTCATTGTTAAGGTGGTTTTATATGTCAATTGGATGTTACAAGAGTTGTTTGTTGATTAAAACCTACATTCGATTGAGATGTTGGGAAGCATTTGGTCTGGCAAGTTGGTTACCACTTATCCATCCTGGAAATGTTGGCTTTGGGTTCATCCCCACTTTCTGCCTAAACTGCACCCATTTTTTTTTTTGGGTCCGGAGGATTGTCTTCTTTTAGTTGTTTATATGGGGTGTGTGTTATCTGGGTGGGGCTTGACCTGGAGGGTGTAGGGCAGACATCGTAGTCCTTCAAGAGTCGATGGGTTGGATTTGGCTCGAATTGCTTGGAGTTAGACCTTAATATTCTTTCACTTCTTTCTTTTGTCTTTGACCGCACCCTACTATTCGGTAGACTCCTAAGCTTCTACCCGGAAGTTTCAGAGGCTCTCGAGCTCACTATTACAGGCGGGAGAGGGTGATGTAGAGGGAGATAGAGAACTAGGGACGAGTGGCGGTGGGAGATTGAGGTGGAGGTCATATTTTAATATAATACTAAAAATATATTCGTTTAGCAAAGTACTTAAACAAGAAATTTAAAAAGAACATTTTTCAGAAAGATTAAGAATCATTTGGAGGAGGAGCCTTATAAAGATCGTATTGATTATTATCAAAGAAAGTCAGGATAGAACCATCTGATTTAATTTGTTCTCAATAACCATGAAATGATCATTTTGGGGGTGATATTTTTGTCGACGGATGTTCCTATTACACATAGTTTGACCATTTAAGAAGACTATTGAAAAGTTCTGTTATAAATGTAGAGTTGTAAAATTTAATAGTTAAAGATAATATTTTATTAAGAAAATTTACATTAACCAAACCATATATGAATGTTTGTAATATACATAATTTAGGTAATAAATATAAAATATTAATTTTTTGACATTGATTATCGAGCATGGTAGAGATAAATTGACAATATTTGAGTGACACCACACCAATTCTTCCTCGAGTGAATATTCCCTGCATTCTGCATTTCTTCGGTTTGTTCTCAGCCTTTAAAGGATTATTGTATTTTGAAAGACGATAACAACAGCAGACAAATTTACGTGTAAAACTCAACTCTTGCCTAAATTAAGAATTCTGGTCTGCGAACATGTGAATTCATATTTTTATTTATTTAATTAAGTTGAATTTCTTATGTCATTTTCTTGTTTAGTAAATTAGACATGTGAATAATTATTATTTTAGCCAACATTGCCTTCCATGGTCCATTCAATGAATTATCTATAATGATGCTTGTAAGAACTAATTCCCTCGTTTCTAATTGAATAAAGCAACATAGGTTAGGGATCAATTTTTACATCTCAAATAAATGGGGACCTTGGTGCTATTTTCACAACCTTTTTATTTTTTTTAATCTCAATCGTAAGAGCCCAAACTCCCTCTACCAAGAGCAAATACAGTCTAAAGGCCAAGCATATGTTTGGCTCATGTTTAAACATAAACACTCTAGTCAATTTTGACTCATACATTTTTAGAAACTTACAAGTATCATTCACTTATCGATTATTTATTTCTATCTATTAATAATTTAAATTGCATATAGACAGCTCCTAAAAAAGTTTTGAGTTACTCATTCGAGCAAGCGATCAGCACCCCAACTACTCTCACTAAAAGGATACTCTCAAACTCCACAATCCAAAGTCAACGCCGATAGTTTAAGTAGCAATTACTACCCCTCCAATACTGCAATTGAACTTTAGTAAAATTTCTTGTTTATATGAAGCAAAGACTACGGTAGTAACAAGATATGGAGTTTTTGAATTCAAAGTGATGCATTTTGGCTTAACAAACGCTCCAACGTTTTGTACGATGATAAATAAGGTACTTCACGGTTTCTTGGACAATCTTTTAGTGGTTTACCTAGACGACATAGTCATCTATAGCGAAACATTGGAGGAACATGTGTAACATGTGAGACAGGCTTTCAATTGGCTACGAGAGAATGAACTCTATGCCAAACCGTCTAAATGCTCATTTGCTTAGACGTCTATCAGCTTCTTGGGTCAAATCATCGAACAAGGCAAAATACGCATAGAATCGAAGAAGCTTACATCCATCAAAAATTGGCAACCACCAAAGAATGTCCACGATGTGCGTTTAGTTCTTGGGTTATGCAATTACTATCGAAGATTTGTGAAAGGGTACTCAAAAATTGCATTGCTACTTACCTAATTGACAAAGAAGGATAATGATTGAAACTAGTCACCCAAATGCCAAAATGCCTTCGAAAAGTTGACGAAATCGATGTGGATGAACCCGGTGTTAGCCTTGCCGGATATGGCTAAA